ATCTCAATAAAGCCATAAATCATTTTTTTTCTTTCCTTTTTCATCCGTCTATATGTTGAAGCATATCTCTATCAATCATAGTGACGAGGCTAAATTGTTTGGCCTTTTGAAATTTACAGCTCTCTTTTAGAGTTTATAGTGTGTGTTTCAACCTAATAATAAGCCCTTGATTACAATGACAGGACATAAATAAAACTGGATTCTAAGTAAGAATAATTAGTGATTTAGCTGTTTTGCAGACGGTGCGATCTAGTTCATTACTGGGCCTCTTTGAAAAAAAAACGGACTTGGGATTATCGTATTTGTTCAGGATTTCCCTTTCAATCAATTATCCTGTCATCCATTTTCTTCTGCTTAACACGTCCATACTTCTCAATCCATGGAAATCCTGAGGAGTTCCTGGGCCATCTGAGAGACATAGTCCCTCCAGCGGGTCCTGGGTCTTCCCCTGGCTTCCTCCTTTTCCGAACCCTTCATTGGCAGATGACCAGGAGCTGCTCCTCAGCTAGCTCCTCTTGACATTGAGGAGCAGCTTGTGTGATAAGCTCATCACCCCATCTCTAAGAATCACCAATCCAGTCTGCAGAGAAAACCCATTTTGACTGACTGCATCTACAAACTTGTCCTTTCGGTCCTTCCCCAAAGCACATGACCAGAGGTGAGACTGGGAACAACGAGGGTAAATTCAGGAGCATTGCCTTTTACCTCAACTTCCTCTACACCACAGGAATTTTCAATTCAATCAATTGACCAGGGGTGCTTACACTAAAACCAAGATATAATTTTACACCAACCATTGAGCCATGATCTACCTCAGATGTAAGCAGGGGTTTACCATCCAGAATATCACATTTGATTCAATTCATGAAGTATGATTGAGTAATGAACAAATGAACATGTTTTCTTTATTCAAAGTTTGTTTGAAGGACAGAAACAAATACTTAAATGATCAGTTTATATGTATTGTAGATTGTAGATATGTCATGAAATGTAGAGTATATTCTTGTGTTGTGTGGCTCAAATAGTAAATATATAATAATATTTTGTGCTCGTATTATTTATCAGAAACGCACATTTAGGTTAAGTTTTTCTGTTCTTTCTTTTGAGGATACTCTATGAAAACAAGTTGAGCAGCAATCACGTACATAAATGGCCTGTGTGTTAGCATGTGTGTTGCGACTGTTTGACTTTTCATGCTGGTGCAATGACACACATGCGTACACGTTTCGTGTGAACACTGATAGGTCAGGCGAGCTTCCCACCCTGCCTTCAAGATCAACAGAGTGACGCATCGAGCACCCCTGAATTAGAATTATATTAATTAGTGAATGCTGCCTACATCAATGCCCCTTTAATGTAGGAAACTAGGCTGTATTCAAGAATCTAATCATTTAGTTAGATGTAGTTTAAACTGCGAATGTCATACATGCGGCCCACAGGCCTATTGTGGCCATGAAAATATATTTTGTGGCTCTCGAGTATAGAACCCACACTGTAAGTGTGGCTCCCACCAGAAGCAGATATGGGATTTTTTACCGGATTCTAAAGCAAATTTTATCAAGTAAACCACCATGTCCTTGATATCAACATACACATACTCATTCAATGTGATAGTTTACTAATGTTTCCTTTTAATGATTACCTAACAGCATTAACATCAGTCTACAATACTAAGCCTTCAAAGCCTTTGGCTCTGTAGTAGAAATGTTTACTTCCTCTACTGTTATTAAATTTCCCCCTAATTGTTGCCCGGCCTCACCCTAAAACGACCTTGTGCAGTCCCCAGCTAAGATGTGTGTGTTTTATCTGGTTTAAACAGTATTGGGGATTTTTTACAGACATTTTCACTCAGTGTTTTCAAGTCTTTTCAAGCTGGGTCCTTATCTTGTTATTTATTGACAAATGTTATAAATCAAATTCAAACTCCTCTGTTAAGCAGTATTAATGCGAACCACTATTTGTTCTGTCTTTGTTGTTGTTGCTTCATTTACAAAGTCAGATCGTATTGCCTGATCCTTGCTCTGGACAAGCGCTTCTTCAGTCATACTAGCTTATGTGTACTTGTTTTAATTTTACATCCAAACTTAAAATTGAAGAATACGGAAATAGGCCACAGCTGTTCTGCTCTTTCGTTTTGTTTGGAAAACTATCGGAACTGTCCTCTCACAACATCCCACTGACACATAGCCTCATTTCCATTGAGAGTCAGTCTCTAAACCATAACAAAAATAGGATTTATTTATCTTCTGCTAGCTCAATACAATAACGCTTTGTGTGGGGGAGGACGGAAGAGCTCTCATAACAGGTAAAGTGATTCGTACCGACTCATTCCCAGCACTTCCATCTACATTTGTATTTAAAAAACTCATTAATCAGATTAAAATACCACAGCTCCTTACAGAGGTCCTAGTGGCACTGAAGGGTGGCTCAAACGGAGGACTACAAGGGGACAATTTTTTTTATTGCATAGCCCTAAAACAGTCTTCTCGGAGGACTTTACAAAGTTGTTGATTTGCCAACACAGATCAGAGAAAACTATTTAAAATGCAAGAAGTAGAAACCATTTGTCCCACATGTAAAAGTCTCATTGTTTTACACAATACAAACTAAAAATCATTCATCGTTTTCATTTGAGGTTTTAAAAAATCCTCGGACAAATTCCCTGCTTTAATGATCAAAACTTATTGCACTCTCTGTCCATCTCCGGAGAGGCTGTGTGGACAAACAAAGACACCATATACAAAAAAATAAAAAATAAAGTTGGGTAATTTGAGTTAGAACAAACTACATGTAAAGGTTTGTGAGTAAAAGAAACACCCTGTATGTGATGTGTTGTTTAAGCTGTCTGAACTGTTACACCGTAGATTTTTTTTTAACGCTGCGTGTTCTTAGGTCCGGAATATTGCTGACAATGTTATCCCCTTTGCCGTCTGACACAGCCTTTAGCATCATGATGTTATGTAAAAACCTTATTGCCCATTTGTCTACAGATGAATGACATGCACACAGAAATGAGAGATTTGGTTTTAAATTGAGCAGAATGTAATGTCTCACTTGTACCAGAAGAGGGGGCCAAAATGCGCCAAATATGTCTCCTTTAAAACACATAGCCTGTAATATTTCGTGCAGACATGTGCCCAGTCAGTGGTGGTGTATATTTAGTCATAATGAGTCAGAGGTCAGAAGCAGGCCGGCTGTGACTTTGGGGCAGACGGCAAGACTAGTCTCACGCTGAACCCTCCCTACATGGGTTCTACTGTACACGCATTATTCTGACACACATATACAGTGGCCCCCGCTAAGATCATGCCCTTGGAACATATCAAGATAGCATGCAGCAAATATGGTTCTGGAGCTTAAAATGCATAGCTTAACCTATGCATCAAAACAAACAAACTTGTCCGTATACCGCCCCTTCTTGCTCAAAATGCTCAAGGTCTCCAATCTATTTCAACATAGACAAGGCTGCATACAGCGGGGCAGCCTGTATGTATTTAGTCAGCCACCAATTGTGCAAGGTCTCCCACTTAAAAAATGAGGGAGGTCTGTAATTTTCATCATAGGTATGCATCAACTATGATGGACAGAATTAGAAATAAATACAAAAAATGGAATCCCTTGGAGATACGACAAGGAGCTCTGTCACACATGTAGAGCTCGGGGTAGATCCACTGCTCCTACACATTGAGAGGAGCCAGTTGTGGTGGCACTAGTATTCATTTCAGAGGCCTCCCCAGGGCATGTCCCACTGGCGGGAGCCTCAGTTGAAGTGAGTGTGTGTGGATAGGGAAGTCTGGGCCCCCGCGATCTGGAAACTGGATGGACAGATGGAGAATCAAGAGCAGACACAAGGAGAAAATCTATGGAGAAGAATGCTGCTCATGGACATTTGTTTCCATTTGAAATGCAGAACCAGAAATCCATCAAATTCTGAGCACATGTCTGGTCATTCTTAAGATAGTGACATTCAGCGCCGGCTAATGTCACCAGAGCTCTGGGGATTCAAATTATAACCAACCACTTCAGGTAAATGCCACCAAATCCAAAAGGGACAATCTGCTACCAGCTGTGTTATTGTCAAAGAAATTGCCTCAGGTAGTGGTCCCTAACCCCCATACCAGGCCGCGGGACATTCGGCCCCGGGCTGCAAGGAAAGGATAAATAACTTGATGTTCGTTCCTTTTTATCAGAGTCTGAACAATCCTTCATTTACAATAAAAGAATACTTGGTTCATTATAATAACTGTCTGCATGGACTGAGTAATAAGTGTATTGTAAAAACATTCAAAAGTCATTCCAAAAATGCATACAAACTGTATACATAAAGGTATAGGAGGAACCACCCTCTCCACTTTTTGAGAAAATGCACATGAAAAACGCTCTACCTGCTCCCAAGAGGGAACTTCTACTAAAACGTGTGCAAGAGACGTGCACATTATGGAGCTATGAGCGCAAAGAGACTGATCCTCCATTCAGCATGGATCTCCTCAATGACTTAAACATGTATATGCCATGTACTAAATAACAAACTGGACGGCTTTCAACAGTTGTTTGTGTCATACTTACATTATGTGTCAATACATGTCCGTATTTTGCAACACCTGGGAGGATGGATGGGTACTATCATTCATTGTTAAAAATAAGCATATGTCTGTGTTCAATTCTTTTCTACCCTCTAAAAAACCTATTTGAAAAAACATGTTCACAGTTTTCGCAGAGGAGAAGGAAGAAAAAGTCATGCTAATGGACAAGGATAATGGTCTCTGACGATGCTTTGCAAACCGCTTCCACATGACACCTCGACCATCTGAAATTGCTCATATAGTTGCTCGGCGCGCTCGCTTCCAAGGGCGTACGCGCGGCACACACAAATCCAGTTACACCGTCTTCCTTTTCTGAGCCATCATTTAGCCAAGGGCGCCTCTGCTGCGGGCGCCGTACGTGTAAACAACAATTCACAATAAGCCGGTGTGTACGCGTGGCCATGGAAACACACTCACAGCCGTTGTAGATGTCCGTGGGGATGTGCACGGCCGTTAAGTTGTAGTCCGTGAGGCGCTTGAAGGAAGAGTCGTGTCGGAAATCGGGCCGGACCCTCCCCTCTGTCCTGTTGGGGTCCAGCTGTGTGCAGACAGGCTCGTTAGAATGCTGATCGGCTAAATAATAAGCACACACACACACACATATATATACACACACACACATAGACACACACACCAGTCACATTTGCTGAGCCACCACTTTGCATACAATAGAAGCATTGAGAGAGTTAGAAAGATGGAGGTGCATTAGCTTGGATATGAATGAGCAAAATGGGCATGAATGAAGCATTGTTCGCCTTTATGTATATGTGTAGTTCTATTTTTCGAGTGATTAGGTAAGCAGTTATAAGTTTGCAACAGTTAACATCAATCAAAACTTGCAGACTAATGAGTTTTTTATGTTTTATTTCAAACTGTAGATTCATCTTTATTGTAAGAAAGAGCATTTCCATTCAGTAAAGCAGTATACCAGGCCCTCTTTTTGGCCTTGGTGGGATTTGAGGAATGGGTCAAATGCTTAAAATGAGTCAGGAAAGGGCGGGGCTGTGAAGTATTTTTGCAGCTCAGCCCACTTGCAGTTGGAATACCTGATATTATGGGGTTTTCAGTCAATTGAACAGAATCGTAATTGCTAATTCTCTTGTGGGAAAATGCCAGCACATGATACTGAGCAGGTTTATTATGTGGGAAAAGACTAATTCTAAAATAAATAGAGAGCACTGACAGATGAGCTTCCACCTTGTAATACCAGAAAAAAAAGTTCCTTATGCGAAGAATACGATACATTTTTATTTATTACTTCTAATTTTGTGGTTTCTGCAGCCTTCAGACTACTTTCAAAACCTTTAATTGGAAGTATGAATGGGAATTTTACTTCTGGAACTGGAGTTGGCAGCAATGTGAGGGAGGGGACAAGGACTATGCAACACAGATAACATGTCATTAATAAATAGGTTGTGTGTCTAAGTGCTATTGACTGTAATCCCACTAATAGTCCAACCAAAATCATTATTTTGTATCATAGGGTCTACGCTTGATCTATGTGGAACTTCTAACAGACATCATTTCACACTTCAGTCAAGTCACAGCCTTCTTCATTCCAACATCAACCCAGATTCAACTGCTCCTTTTGACGAAGCTCCTTTGTAAATCACATTATCGCTAACATTCGCCGGCAGTCAACACGCGAACCGTCAACGTCGATTTACAACTAAGGCTGATCTCCGTGTCGCCCAAAGACATACTGTATAAAACAAAGCATAAGCTGCTGAGGAGGACGAGGCAAGCGAGCAGAGGTAGGAAAAAAAAAAAAATAAGCTTGCGTCTTCTTAATAAAGCAACAGTGCGGTCGGCCTCATACATCTCATCTGTCAATTAGGCTCGAAACGCAGCGTAAACCTCTTCACCTGAGACGGGAGGAGGGAGGAGAAGAAATAAAAGACAATGGTTGAAGTGGAGAAAAGGCTGAGGCAATAGGGGAGAAAGACCTGGTGCCGTGTGAATGCAATCGGCTGTGCATAGGGATTGAGACGGTTGTGTAGTGGAATCATTTGGGAGGACGGGGTGGGTGACCGCTCGAGCGAGGGGCTTAGAGGGATTGAGAAACAAATAAATCGAGAGAGAGAGAAAGAGAATAAGAGGGGTGTGTTCTTACGTTGTCCTTTGAGTTGTAGTATGAGATATCTTCGTCCTGCGAAATGGAGAAACCTGTTATTGGTAACGTAATGTGGTGTTATTTCATACTGGCAATCGTACAGCTTTGCACATAAGATATTTCAACCATGTCCCAACCTTCCCATAACCTTGAGGAGCTGACAAAAAATTCTAACAGTATCTACAGGGAAAACAATTCAACCTGTTCAAGGCAGTTTGGCTCCATAAGAAGAAATGTATACAAGCTTCTTAGAATAAAAAAATATGAATCTATATTAATTCTAATTGGATCTAATCTAGTCAGAACTGGACATGGGGAGGCTGCGTTTCAGATTCTTGCAGCTAGAGTCTGGAACCGTCTTCCCGAGAATGTGAGACAGGCATCTACTCTGGCAGTTTTTAAAACTGGGCTGAAAACAGTTCTGTTTAGCTGTGCATACAACTGAATGATTTTAATTTTGATTTTATCTTTACAGGGGCCAATTTCGCTTGGGTTTTCTAGTGTTAATCTTTTTAATGCACTATGAAAATGTATGATGATTTTAATCCATTGTGTGATTTTATTTTTTATGTTTGTAATAATGGCATGATTTTATTATTATTATTAGCAGTATTTTTTTTTTTTGTATACAGTGGGGCAAAAAAGTATTTAGTCAGCCACCGATTGTTCAAGTTCTCCCACTTAAAATAATGACAGAGGTCTGTAATTTTCATCATAGGTACACTTCAACTGTGAGAGACAGAATGTGAAAAAAAATTCACATTGTAGAATTTTTAAAGAATTTATTTGTAAATTATGGTGGAAATTAAGTATTTGGTCAATAATAAAAATTCAACTCAATACTTTGTAATATAACCCTTGTTGGCAATAACAGAGGTCAAACGATTACCATAGGTCTTTACCAGGTTTGCAAGGCAAGGCAAGTTTATTTGTATAGCACAATTCATACACAAGGCAACTCAAAGTGCTGAACAAAACAAGAAAGCATTAAAATCATAAATAGCACACACAGTAGCTGGTATTTTGGCCCATTCCTCCATGCAGATCTTCTCGAGAGCAGTGAACACGGACTTTCAACTCCCTCCACAGATTTTCAATGGGGTTGAGGTCTGGAGACTGGCTAGGCCACTCCAGGACTTTCAACTGCTTCTACTGAGCCACTCCTTCGTTGCCCGGGCGGTGTGTTTGGGATCATTGTCATGCTGGAAGACCCAGCCAAATTTCATCTTCAAAGCTCTCACTGATGGAAGGAGGTTTTGGCTCAAACTCTCATGATACATGGCCTCATTCATTCTTTCCTTAACACCGATCAGTCGTCCTGTCCCCTTAGCAGAAAAACAGCCCCAAAGCATGATGTTTCCACCCCCATGCTTCACAGTAGGTATGGTGTTCTTGGGATGCAACTCAGTATTCTTCTTCCTCCAAACACGACGAGTTGAGTTTACACCAAACAGTTCTACTTTGGTTTCATCTGACCACATGACATTCTCCCAATCCTCTGCTGTATCATCCATGTGCTCTCTGGCAAACTTCAGACGGGCCTGGACATGCATGTCCCAGCTCTCTGCAGGTCATTCACCAGGTCCCCCCGTGTGGTTCTGGGATTTTTGATCACCGTTCTCATGATCATTTTGACCCCACGGGATGATCTTGCGTGGAGCCCAAGATCGAGGGAGATTATCAGTGGTCTTGTATGTCTTCCATTTTCTGATAATTGCTCCCACAGTTGATTTGTTCACACCAAGCTGCTTGCCTATTGTAGATTCACTCTTCCCAGTCTGGTGCAGGTCTACAATTCTTTTCCTGGTGTCCTTCGACAGCTCTTTGGTCTTAGCCATAGTGGAGTTTGGAGTCTGACTGTTTGAGGCTGTGGACAGGTGTCTTTTATACAGATAACGAGTTCAAACAGGTGCCGTTAATACAGGTAACGAGTGGAGGACAGAAGAGCTTCTTAAAGAAGAAGTTACAGGTCTGTGAGAGCCAGAGATCTTCCTTGTTTGAAGTGACCAAATACATATTTTCCACCATAATTTACAAATAAATTCTTTAAAAATCCTACAATGTGAATTCCTGGATTTTTTTTCCACATTCTGTCTCACACAGTTGAAGTGTACCTATGATGAAAATTACAGATCTCTGTCATTATTTTAAGTGGGAGAACTTGCACAATCGGTGACTTTTTTGCCCCACTGTATATAATCTAATGTTTGATGATTTATGCATGATGTAATATGGGTTGTGAGGCGCTTTGCGTTGCCTTTGTGTAGGAAAGGCGATCTACAAATAAACGTTAATTGATTGATTGATTGAAAACTAATAATACAATTTTTTTTCCTTCGGCTGTCAGAAGACTTCGGCAGAAGATTCCTCCTACAGGGGGATCAATAATGTATCTATCTATCTATATTTTTTTCAATACATATACAGTATCATATCTAAATGGGTTGCCTGGAATTGTAAGCTATAGTTCCAATATATTGTCTTCCTACTTTTCTTTTTAAGTAGCCTATATGTCAAACTGCACAGATTATATTGTTCTAAAGCCTACAGTATGGCATGGGTTGGATAATGCGTTTCAAATTTGGATTTCTACGGATCTCAGCCCGCTCAAGTGGATATGATACACTAAGTTAGTTAGCTTGCGACAGGCCCATGTGGCTACAGTATTTTCAACATTAGTTTCCTATAAGAAAAGGATCCAAACTTGATTGTGTGTATCTTTATTGAAGGGTGTCACAGGTCGAGTTCTTCACAAAGAATTTTAGAATCAGAATCTCTTATAATTTTGAGTTTCATATGTTTCCTTAAAATACAGTTGCTTCACTGATAGAAGGGTCGCAAACCTGAGCAACACAATACTTTGCTAATTGTCTCACCGAATTCCCCCGAGAATGTTTAGTCTGACTCCAGCTGCATTCCCAATGACCTCAGCTTTCAAAAGAGGCAAATCAAAGCCAATGCATAATGAAGACATTATTATACTCTAACTTGGTCAAGAGTGACAGAATGCTGCAAAAATAAACATAACACTTTTCAAAACCTCATTTTTTCTTCAAATATTTTTTATTGTCCAGAAAGTTACAGAAAAACCTTACAAAATAACTGAAAGTAAGAAACATGTTGCTTTCTACTAGGGCTGATTTTTTTTGGTAAACATTGCGATTGAGATTAGATCTGTGATTTAAGTTCAAGAAACAAAACAGCAGATGATATGTATTTATTTTGGCGGGTGAAAATTTTGACTAAATTAGATATGCTGAAGTATTATGGGCAAATTCAATTCACTTCCTTTTGGTATAGCTCTAAATATCAACAGCAGTCAATGCGGAAGACTTTAGAAGGGGTCGATTTGTGAACACAGATCACAGACTCAAACAGTTCAAATATACAGGAAATGCCATAATAACAAACATATAGGAGCCATTGGTCTAAAAGGGGCAATTGACCAATGTCCATAAACGTCCTGAATCATCAATACTGTCTTTAGACCCTCCTGCATCGGCAAGGAACGACTCAAAAAACCCAGTAGTAAAAGTGAGAAACCTCGAGAAGGTCCACATTGAGAAAAGGATACACTCCCACGAATGGTCGGGCTATAGATCCAGGACTCAGTCTGTAGAACGAGAACCGAGGCCAGGCATTGCAGGACTGTGGCAGCTCTCAGGCAGGGAGTGAGGTGCAGCCCACGAGTCCGGGGGCAACAAAAATAACAAATTCTCACTCAAAATGAGGGCCCATGCTCATGCCCAGATAACCACTGCTAAATGTGTGCATTTTTATGTGTGCACTAAATGTGAATAATTGCCGTCTTGGCGATGATCACTTCGATACGATTACAATTAATCTTTCACCCCTCCCGTCTCCACGTGCGCTCATCTACAGAACAAATGTCTCTCCCTGTTTGTATGTGCTGACCAAATGCTGCACTCCACTCATCTTGTTAAATCATATGAGCCTGCTGCTATTTACAGATCTCTGGGGAAACATTTGCGGGGCCTTTAACGGCGCGCTACGCATCGTGCCACAGACCCGGCTCATCCATCTGAGCGTGTGCGGTGACGTGTCATGGCCGCCTCTGACCTCCTCCTCTCCGCGCTTCAGTAATAAAACAGGCCGGATGAAAGATGAGCCTGTATGATGTCCAATAAAGCTGTTTAGTAATGGAGCAGTAATCAGAGCTAACAGGCGCGAGATGATAAATTAAAGCCGTGCGAACAAAAGCCGTGAGCATGGATCCACGCTGCCGGGATGCTCGATAATACAGGGTTGCGTTATCAGACACGTTTTCTTCATTTTCTTTTAGCCTTGTGTTATAATATATGTTGTGATTCATTGGATCCTTTAAAGCTGGAAGTAGCCAACATTGAAACCACAAAACAGTCTGTAATAAAATCAATGTGCAACTAGTTCCTCAACACTATCTATTCTGCTCTATCACAAATGTTCACATGTATCTTTGACCTCTCTCACAGGCTAAATCAGGATAATAAAAAAAATAAAGTATTTTCTAATAAGTGGGATGGGGCTCAGTTGGAGACAGGAGTTCAAGATTCTGTAAGAAATTGAACTCTACTTCTCGACAGTGTCTTTCTTAATAATAGTAATTAAAATAACAATGGTTGATGCCTTTGATTGCTTTCACATTGGCTCGACACCGCACTGCTCAGCTCAGTTTGCTCTAAAAGAGAACAGTATAGAGCTGCTAAAGTGGGCACTGCTTATGAGCAAAGCCAGGACAGGCTCGGTTTGCGGGCTGTTAGGGCGTGCCACGTCTCCCACACAGCCATTGAAGGAAAGCCACGTAAACCATGTGAACATGCTGAAAAAAATAAATTACATAAAAAATATCTAAAAAGTACAAGCGAAAAAGTTTCATTTTCAGTTTGTGTTGGAAAATATGTGCGCAGACAAGGGCTTTTTGTACTGCACACTGTTATTTTTTTGTTTGTGCATGATAAAGGGTATGAAGCAAGGACTGAATAAGCACTGGGTAAATATTACAGGGTTTCAATCTTGTACCGAGGACTACACTTTATTGCAGTTATTAAAAATGTGTTGGTTTCACAGGATTCTATGGACACATCGGCTGGAGTTAGTGCAGAAAATGCTTGAGAATTCACTGCGTGAACAATAAGGATGCACACTTATGCACTTATGGGGGGGGCGACAGTAGCTCAGTTGGTAGAGCATTGGCCTTAAGCCCAGAAGGTTGTGGGTTCACCTCTGCACCTTCTCCACCGACTCCCACTGATGACTGCTGTCGTTGTGTCCTTGGGCAAGACACTTAACCCCACTTTGCCCAAAGCCCCCACTGAAAGATCAAGGCTATGCTCACAGTCAGAGAGCAGCCGTCCTCCTGTGGACTCACCACCTGCAGAGGGTCAGTGAGGGGCTGGTGCTATGAGACTTGGGTGGCATCTCTGACTGCCACCCCCCTGACCCAGAAATGGATTAAAGGGTAGAAAATGGATGGATGGACTTATGCATACTTTCTTTTCCACTAAACTTCTTTGCAGTGTGATGGGCTTCATTTTCATGAATTTTTTTCCTTAAAAAAATGTGTTCATTAAAGCCGACCTGCTCTTTGTCCACCTACGCAGAAAGCATCATAAGGGTATGACCACAGAATAAGGAAAGCTTGGCAAATGCTTTTTGAGCTTGACCACTTAAGTTGAATTGGCAGCCATCTTGGACCCAGGCCTTGGTCATGTCACACGGATGCTTCTTCTTAGTACATACGTGACCCTGCTCTGGCCTTTGAAAGTTGCTGCAGTTTAAACTTCACACTTATGTACGTACCTCATAGATCAGATTCATATTCAGTTTATTTGCCATTTGCAGTAAAAAAAAAACACATTGGAATACATTAGCAAAAAGTCTCCAGTGTGCACAGACAAATACAGACATAAAACAACATTAAAAGACAGAAATAAAACAAATAAAACAGTAAACAATTGACACTGTGAAATCGATCGACTAAAACAGTTTCAAAACAAGTGCAAATCATTAAAGTGCTCTGTTCACACTGAGAACAGCTTGTGGAAAAAAAATGTTAGCGTAACGAGATGTCCTGCATCTCAGAGAGCGATATCTTCTGCCAGAGGGAAGAAGCTGGAACATGGCTTTCCCAGGGTGGCCGGAAGAGTCATTGACAATCCTAAGAGCTTTGTTTAAAAGTCTGGATTTATAAAGAACCTCCAGAACAGGAAGCTCACAGCCCACGGTCCTCTTTGCAGAGCGGAGCACCTTATTTAAAGCTCTCTTTTCTTTATCTGTGATGTTACCTGAATCTGAATCTGATAACAGTGAAGTAGATACAAAGGTTTCTCACTTTTTCCCACTGGGTTTTTTAAGAGTTTTTCCTTGTCGATGCAGGAGGGTCTTGTTGGACAGTTAGTGTCCAACAGAAAGGATTGGTGATGATCAGGACACTTTAGCATTCTACAACATGTATGGACATTTTTTTCTGTGTGTGCTTTATATTCTTCATGTGTTTTAACTGTTGATTCTCTGACCTGTGTTGGTGATTTCAATGGTTTTGTTAAGTCCTCTGAGATGACTTCTGTTGTGACCTAGGGCTATACAAGAATAAATTGTATTGTATTGTGTAATATGTGAATATTTGCTACATTTAATAGTGACTGTAGTTTCAGTTAATGGAGGAAACTAAAGCACCGGTACTATAACCGGTACTATTTAGTGGTATATACAGAATATGCTAAGTCAGAGAGGCCCTGGGAATTGGACCTGCGACCTTCTTCCTGTGAGGTGACAGAGCTGACAGATGTGCCTCCTCAGTATAGTGTGCTTTTGCTGGCTCTCTTACCTCAAACTCATCTTTCCACTGGTGCTCCATCTGGAACTTCTCTGCCGCCGTGGCCAGTTTCTGGGGAGTGAAAAATGACACACATTTAGAGACGACTGCACAGGGTAGATCAACTGCGGGAGAGTGGAGCAAAGTTAAGAGGAAAGTCTCAACACTGCGGGGAGCTTCTACATTCCCTTCGACTTTTAATCTTTTGGAACATTCACCTTGGGAAATACATCTTATGCCATTGATGATCGTCAAGTCTGGATTTGACTCCTATAGATTATTCCAAGTGATATACTGCCTCCCAAAAGTAAGTGTTATGTGTTTAATTTCCATTTACAGTATAGATTGATGATTTTTCACAATAGACTAGTGTTCTCCAACCTTTTTGAGCCGCGGCACAAATCATACGGCACACCACCAACTTCATTTTATTCACAACTGAAACTCTACAGCCTTTATTAACATGTAAAGTCATTTAATCAATGTGTAGTATATACTGTAGTAAATCAAACAAGCATAAAAACAAATATTTCTAATGATCTCACATTTTCTTTTCACATGATTTTGACCAAGCAGGAAGAAAAACACTGATAGTCTCCCAATAAAAGAAAGAATACAACCCCAGAATGTATTTGGTTAATGGACATTCTGCAATATCTATCTATGACACCCATGGCTCATCATTTAATATTTAGCACACATGAAAGCTCAATCTTGATTCAAAACAAGGTTGAAAAAAAGTCAATGCCAAATCGCTATGAACTTTGCCTTTTAACCCAACATAAGGAAATATATAGTCAGAAGAAACGTGAGCTGACATTTCTTTCAATTTATAAAGAAGGACCTGACAGGAAGATTGTTGCTGGGAAAATTCTGTGTTTTAGTTTTTCTTTGCAGACGCAGGAGGGTCAAAGGGTAGTGGTATTTATGCACATTTATTAGCATTTATGGGTATTTGTAGTCCACCCCCTCATACCTCCTATGTGGTCATTATCATTGCATTTATTATGTTCTAACAGTTTCATTCTTTGTTTTGTATTGGTGACAACTGTGTGAAGTCCTCTGAAATGACTGCTGTTGCTATTTAGGGCTATACAAAACTAAATGGAATTGAATTTGAGTTAACATCACGACTGCACTGCTGCTGATCTTCTTGTATCACAGCATCCAGGGGAAAAAAAATTGTAAGTAAAGTATAGTAATTGCTGTTGCCAGAGGAACCAGGGGAATGCATGGGTGCAAGATCGACTCAAACACAAATTACTGTGTGTGAATGAATGGAGGATATTTTACTAAAAAGCTGTGAAAAGTTTATTTTGCTGGTTATGTTTTAATGCATAGTATGTATATGTATGTTTAATTGGACAGCAATAGCAAAGGCTTATAATATTCTTTTAACAAGACAAACACTCATTGGGAGCATTTTACCAATTGCCACTGTAATAGAAATATGACCTGATCTGAAGAAACATTCAACGTATACTGGAGGATTTTCCCAAACGTTAGGAAAGAACTGCCCTCTCCACTTTTTTAACCAAACCCTCTGGTCTTATTTGATGAGATCTTCAGAATGATTGACAAAAGGGAGGACCAGTTTTCTTTATGATCCACTCAGAAGAAGAAAATCCTTCTATATACCTTAATTTTTTTTTAGAGTAAACTAAAAACCTCCACTCTTGATTTAACTACAGTATGGATAGTTTCTTCTGCTTTATGTTATTAAGTTCAGCTGATAGATGGGTTTTCTGCAATATCTGTGTCAAAATACACAATGCTCCAGATCAAAACAGATTACTGCATATTTTAGAATTGTATCAGACTTAATGAAGCAGATGGGAAAGCCTTGAGCTGCACATATCAACCGTGACTTCATTTGTTTAAGATCTAGAGTAGATATGTCCTTGTTTACTCTAGTAATTCCTTCAGAACTAATTCAGGTGGTATGGATTATGTTTTTCTTTGTATATTGCACAGTATTCACTCATGAATAAACTCACACTTGGATTGTATTAAAGCTCTGGGTTGTTTTCATTGTTTATGCTAGCGGGTCTGTAAAGAAATTCCACAAGACTAAGATCTTTTCGACAAATGATTGTGACAGAGTTACGTTGATGCTTTATATATTTTAAGTTACAAGCTGTTAAGACATTCCAGAGAAAATGTGATCCGTAGAAATTCTTTGTTTCCTTGTATCTGTCAGTAAGTCCTGAAGTGGCCTGAGGCAGCTCTGAGGTTATATTTCAAATGCATATCACACCCCAAGAAGAAGGCAACACCTGCCTTTTAACACATGTTACCCACTGTATGCACATACTGCTTGTAGTAAGGGGCATCACCCTTTTTTAAATTATAAAACACTTCCCATGTAAATAGCTCTGTGTGTATGACTTTTTAATTAAACAAAATGTTGCATGATTTTTGTCCGTCAAAATGTAAGACAATTTACTTTGACATTTCAAATTTTAGAATGTGTCATACTAATAAATACTAATGCTGTTACATTTTAAAAAGCTGTTCAAGAAGGACGTGCTGAAGAAGTATGTGGAGGAGTGAGGACTTCAGCATAGAGGGAGGTGTGTGGTCAGAGAGTGTTTGGGCCTGTGTCTTGTGTGTGTGTGTGTGTGTGTGTGTGTGTGTGTGTGTGTGTGTGTGTGTGTGTGTGTGTGTGTGTGTGTGTGTGTGTGTGTGTGTGTGTGTGTGTGTGTGTGTGTGTGTGTGTGTGTGTTTACATAGGACAATTTTGGGGACTTCAACCAGGATACACACCAGTAGATTGGGGACCGAATTCCAATTGGGGACCAAAATCATGGTCCCCAATTAGACCCCAATTAGATTTCATTGAATATAGAATCTCTAAGCTCAGAAATGCATTTCTCCCTGAAAATCTTCAATGTCCCAAAAAGTGACTTTTGTAGTTTTTTTTGTGTATGTGTGTGTGACCCCACTTTTCCCCCACCCAATTTGTGTATAACTCTATGTCGTCCCCTAGTGGATGTGTATGGAACTGCATGTCCCCAAAGGGAGGTGTAGTTGGTGTGTGTATAGAGGTCTGTGGCTAGTTATATACCCTGTAAACAAAATATGACTAAAGAAGGATTCAATTTACATTTCCCACATGTAACATATGCTGCATATGTCTGACTAGCACTGAACTAGCCAGTGCCAAAATACTACTTGATGATTGGATGTTTATTTGTACCTTAAGTTGCTTAGATAACACCAATTATCAACAATACTATACTATATTGAATATATAATACTTCACAGAGTAGTCTACATGGTAACAATGGTTGGCAATGAAACAAGACAGGTCTGACTGCTCCACATGAAATACCATCATCTCCATAGGAAAACAATGTATAATAATCCAGAATAACTTCAACCTAACCCAAATGTAACTTATTTTATATTCAAGATACGTTACAGGCACCAGAACACAAATGCGTGCTACCAAGTGAGTTTAGTATAGTTATTTAGATATTCACAAAATAAATGCAATATCCACAACAGTTGAAAAACCACTTGAATCAAAAAAGGCCCACTACAGTAGCATTGAAAGTAGTCCACATACAGTACAGCCAACAGCGCAACTGTTTTTTTCCATAAATGCATTAAGAATTCCTCAAAAAACTGTTCAACGCAGGACTCACAGTGCCGTCCAGTACATTTGAGGTGGTAGTGCCGTCCAGTACATTTGAGGTGGTAGAAACAGTGAAGTGAGTGGCAGCAAGGCCTCCTACCGCACCATGAGATGAATCAGAAGTCAAAATGAGTATTTAAGAAATCCAGAGAATATCAACGGGCCTCTCCCAGACGTCATACAGCTTCAGCAATCCTGGTCTGGATAATAACATGCATGCATAAGTATAACATTTCATTTGAGTACCCCATAGTAGTAATGTTTTACAAAGTAATAAGATATCGCTGTGCTGTCTTCAGGGTTGCCAGATGGGTCGGTTTTACGCCCAATTGTGCGGTTTTGCGATCTATTTAGCAGGCAAAAATGGGTTTGGGCGGATGGCTAAAAATTGGGCTGGTTTCAGATCAGTTCAGTGTGTTTTTGTAGCCAAAACATCGGCACTTGATCCCTTGTTTGGATCCCTCTTCCTCTCTCCGGGCAGAAATAACTTGCCCTCTTTAACCTCACATCACACACTCACTACCTTTAGCTGAGGTTACAATATTTACAGTATATGCGTCACATACGCATGCACGTTCCCTCCTGCCACTCAGACAAAACGCAGGTTTTTGAAAAATTAGCTGTCAAAATGTCAAAGTAGGCAAAATAAAGGAAAAAAACAGAATCAAGTCAAAAAAAGATCCAGACTTGAAGGTTCATTAAGTGATTTTGATAGCTTAGCCGTAGCACCAACTCGAAACAACACTCTCCACTCGATTATTTTTATCGATCCACTCCAAAATATTTTTAATACATTTTTGGAGACTGTAGGCATCTGGTCAATTCCATTACTATTTGAAAACACATGATAGCTTGACTACTTTTAGGGTTATAAAAAAAAATCACTGACTGCATTTTTAAGGGCATGGATTTCACGTGGTGCAGAAGAAGGGAAAGCGCACTGCCAAGTTTGTATCACTGATACTTGTGCACATTTAAAAGATCTCAAAGATCATGCAGCCACAAAGAAGCACAAGTCAAGGTGCCAGCTAACGGCCCAATATGTAAAATTAATCAAGGCTGTAAAGTAGGGCTGCAACAACGAATTGATAATATCGATAAAAATCGATTATTAAAAGCGTTGGCAACGAATTTGGTTATCGATTCGTTGTGTCGCGCAGTTAATACGTCACCGAGTGCGGGGGTTGGGCGCATTCTTGTAGTTCTGTGGTTGAGCGGACGGACGTACATGCACCACAGAACTACACAACACTGCATCACACTGCCGTAAAACTCCACAGAAGAAGAGCAGAGTGTGGCGAAGGTGGTCATTTTTAATACAGTCTGGTGGAGGCATTCATTCGAGCAAGACCGCGTTGAACCAGTGCAGAATAGCGAAGCGAAGGAAGTGTGCAAGTGTTTT